CCCCAAAACCCCAAAACCCCAAAACCCCTTGAAATTAATTAAAGCTAAAATTTTGATGAAAATTAAATTAATAATGGCATTATTAGAGAAACGTAAAAAAGAATTGAAGAATTTGAAGGAGACTTAGCGAAATTAATCTTCTAAATCCCCTGAGAACTATTTGCAGAATTTTTCACCCAAAAAATTTGGACGAGTTTCAATATTTAATCAAAATATCAATCATCATTTCAATCAAAGAGGAGGTTTTATGACTCAGAGGTTATCTTAATAGGTATCATTGAAGGAATCAGTTGAAAACTCAATTAGAAGCAAACTTGATTAATTGAAAAATAGGTAATCAATTGATTCAGATATCAATAAACGATCAATGTTTAGTGCTCTTAGTCAAAGAGATGTTAATCTTGGTCATGTAACAATTTAAGTTAATTAACTCACAGATAACAAGCAAAGTTTAACTTAACTTCCAAAGGTTTTATTTTCTCCTCACACTAAGGAATAATAAAACGCTGAGCTAATAAATCTAAACAGATCTCGATCATCAAACAATAATTTAAATCAAATAAAAAGAGAAACTTAAAGTTCCCAATTGTCCAGAAGAGAATCAATGATGAACAATATGAATCATGATAAAATTCATGAAGAACTATAATTAAACAAAAATTCTTTGGTTTCATAATATACAGCCAAAAATTTAGGATAATTCCAATGACTAAGTGATATATTAGCAATACCAGGATCATCAGAATCTAAAAGATAATAAGACAAAATGACAAAGCTATAATCACCTAAGAAAAAGGTTGTAAAACCTAAGAAGCATCTTGTATAAATTGGAATGATGATGCAGAAAACTAAAAAGCCAAGAGCAGTTCCATTAAGATAAGGAACTCTGACCATAATAAACTAAGCTGCTATAGATGCCAAAATAAAAAGGAATCATTAGCAGGAGGATACTGAGTAGGACATTTTTCTAGCAGGAAACAAAAAGTAAATGCCTGAACAAGCTAAAATTAAGCTTAAGTGGAAAACCATATAATATCTGCTTGAGAATAAAAAACGTAAGTAACTTTAATTGATTTTTAATTGATTTTAGCATAAATTGAGATGCTTACTAGTAACTTAAAAGAACTTATAACTGAAGTAAAGAATGATAAGAAATCTCTTTTAAGAGGAGCTGCTGCGAGAAGTGAGAAGGCAAAACGCCTTGGAACCACTCTATTAAAAGTAATGTCAAGTGTTGAAACTAAAGATGACTCAGCTGAGAGAAGAGCTACAGAAAATGATAGCGACAAAGGCTTAAATAGAGATGAATTTGCTAAGCTACTAGCTATGATAGGTTTAGGTACAGATAAAAACTTGATAGAAAAACTATTCTGGATATTTGATGATGATGGTAATGGTGAAGTAGATCATAAAGAATTAGCTGTTGGGCTTGAGATGTTAAAAGAAAACACATTTGCAGATAAAATCGATAGTAATTTTAACACTTATTATATTCTAAATTTATAGGATTTTTCGACATTTGTGATGAAGATGGAAGTGGTACAATTGACAGAAAAGAGTTTTACAATTTACTTAAACTATCAATGGTAAATTATGAAGATGTTTCTAGTTTGAAGAGTCTAGTTAAAAAGCTATTCGCAATGGTTGATAAAAGAGGGACCGGTGAAATTACAAAGTAAATATAAATTGATTAAATAAGATTATTAGGCAAGAGATGCAATATGCTTGCTAGAATAACTAGTAGATTAAAGATCTAATCGAGAAGAATGTTAAGATACTTAAGGAAGTTGATCATTGGATTGAAAGTGATCTTGAAAAGCCATTCCACACCAGAATTACATTTACCCTAGGCAATTCAAATTCAAGGTCTAAGGGAGTGTACTATCCTTCGATAAACAAATTGGTTGCTGCTCTTGAAGAAAGAGAAAATGTCATTAGAAATTATGAGTCTATTAAAGAAGAAAACAGACTAAATATGAGAAAGTTAAAAGGTATTCAGCATGAAGATGAATCTGAAGATGAATACTGAAATTTAAATTGAGGAATAACAATGACTATCTAATTCTTAATTTCATAATTCTTTTGTTAAAATGCTTTAAGGGGTTTTGGGGTTTTGGGGTTTTGGGG